TTAGCTAATGTCATAGGAAGTAGCGGGTTGACATGAAGCTAGAGCTGTTGATTTTTTCCCTCTCGTTATTGCCCACTTTATTATGCGCAGCCTCTTGAATTCCTCTTATGTATATTGGTACCCAATGCATATGTGCCTTATTAATTTGATACTTTATAGATTTCTTTGAATCTTTGTATTGCATCATGTCCAACTGATTGTCTCAAATAAAGTTTCCTTTATTCAGTATTTGTTTGGTTTTGTAGAGGCGATCAAGTCGGTCATTTGTTCCAGTACCTTAGCAGCTTCCCATATTCATGCCTATTATCAGAGTTTTAGCTTAAGGACGTATGCTTTTGTGTTCAAGCAGAAATGGTCTCGACAGGTGTAGAAGTTTATATCAAAATCTTCGACTCGTCAGTACGTCCTCACCTTCGTAAGTTACATTTTATTTGAAAGTTTATCTGTTTATTGAGAAAACTCTTTTCTTGACGTGGCTAGTGTATCGTATAGAAGTTCTAGGAAGGATTACTATCAAGTGTTGGGCGTTCAACGAGATGCAACTCAACGACAAATAAAGTCTGCATACTATCAGTTGTCAAAAAAGGTGGTTTTGCAAATTATCTATTGCTCCATTGAAGGATTTGGGCATCATGATTTTTTTCTGGTTTTGCAAAGAAATTTGGTGAAAGCGAAAGTCTGATATCACACTTAGAACTCTTACTCTTTTTTTGTCCTTCTGTACTAGAGGTCAGTTTATTTGCTTAAGAACATGTTCTAGCAATGTTGCTTCTTATTCCCTTCAATTTCTTTCTGTCATCGCTGGAAAACGTGAGTAGCACTTATTTTTTTAGCCTCTCTAGGTACTCAGACCATCACTCCGTTAACAATAACTCTCTTTGCCTACTATAGGGCTGCTGTAAGGTTGCGCATGAGTCGCGCGTGAGAAGGCGACAACGTATAAATGCGAATGAGATTGTAATTAGTTTCAAGTATCATGACATTGTACATATCATTCAATTGATATTATTATTTATTAGGCACAATCGCATTTGAGCGATTTTGACTTAGTATATGCGTTAATATTCTTTGAAGGAGAGTGTCTAAAAATTTCTTTCTCTACATGGTGTGAAGGCAAATTTGAATACTAATAATAAATAATAATAAATATATACAAATTTAAATATTCATGGAAGATGTTGGGAAATGAGCAAGGTGAGAAGGTGGGAAAGCGAAAGATCGCAATGTTATTACTGATTTGTATGTTTCTATTGGCTTGCATTAATTAGGTGATATTTTGAAGATTATAAATAGAAAGGAGGAAGAGTTTAAAGCAAGCAAACAGAATAAATTCAGTTTGATGAATCTATTCAGGATTGAGATCGGGTCATAGTTGGAAAAAGCTCTAGGCATTCAGAAATAGCAATGCTCGCGATTGTTGCAGAAACCATTTGTGCCATCAATTTTTTATTTTCAGTACCATCCGGACGTAGCTGGACGTAGTAAAGATTCAGAAGCAAAATTTATTGAAATCACTGAAGCGTATGACTGTCTTAAAGATCCAGAGAAACGACGATATTATGATAATGGAATCTCTGGCACTGGAGGACGTTATACCGGGGATCCATACAATTTCAGGGTAATTTGTTTCCTAATTTAGTCTGTTTTCATCTGGTTCTTTCAAATTTTTAGGATTTCCAGCAAAACACACAACGGAGAAAAGATTATGGAAATCAAAATGGTAATCCGTTTTATAGTAGAAGCTATACTCAGCAAGAGTACGAGCGGGTAAATTTTGACTTTACTAGTTTTGAGAGCTTTCAAAGATCAGTCGCTCTAGATATGGGAAGTGTTCAATCGTATGCGTCAGGAGCAAGACTTATATAATGAACAGATAAGACGAGAAAAAGAAAGAATATGGGATGAGTTTGCAAGACAACGGGCTGAGCGGTGGAAACGTTTTCATGATAAGTAAGTTTTGCATATGTTAGTAGTCGCCAAATAAGTAATT